TGGTTTCCTGGTTTTGGTTACCGAATCAGCGGTTTTGGTTACCGAATCAGCGGTTTTGGTTACCGAATCAGCGGGTTTTGGTTACCGAATCAGCGGTTTTGGTTATCGAATCATAGTTACCGAATCAGCGGTTTTGGTTACCGAATCAGCGGTTTTGGTTACCGAATCAGCGGGTTTTGGTTACCGAATCAGCGGTTTTGGTTACCGAATCAGACGTTTTGGTTACCGAATCAGACGTTTTAGTTACCGAATCAGCGCTTTTAGTTATCGAATCAGCGCTTTTAGTTATCGAATCATAGTTACCGAATCAGACCGTTTGGTTACCGAATCAGACGTCGACCTAATCTAACTCACCTTGTGGACAAGCAGGGCATAGTAGGCAGTCCTTGGGAAACGAAGCTGGAAATCCAAAAAGGAAGCCTCGGTAGATCAGCCCAAATTTGGAACGTTCATTTTGAAGGTTCATCTAAGTTTTGCATAGTTTTCCTGCCGCCGAGACGGAGTTGATTTATGTAGAAGTTGCATGAACTTTTCGGTGAGTGAGCGTATTCTTGATTCTTGGGAGGGCTGCGCCACCCGCAAGTGTGAAATTCTTTGGTGGCATTGCTCCATGACACTCTTAGCTGCTCAAATCCACATACGGACGAGTGTATTAAAACACATGTCATTATATACTCTGAACATCTCTGAACCCTCTTGGTTTTGGCCTGTGTGGCTTCTGATTGTGCCTGGCCAAGCCATGCATAGTATCAGAACCTGTGCCCTGTGAGGAATTAGGGCCCAAGTTTACCACCAAAGCCCGCTTTGGTTTCCAGCTGCTTCTGAACTACACTGGTGGTGCGCTGATTTACATCAGACGTGAGCCGCGGGCCTGAAGTTTCAGAATGGGGGCAGTAGTCTTTTGTCTTAGCATGTGCGGTACGTGGTGCCCAAGGTATGCCAGCCGCATTAGAATAATCCAGAATAGACCCTCTGCTGCATTTGGACCCGTTTGTCCGAGATTGCGTGCATCACACGTCACATCTCAGGCTGGAGGTCTGCCAATAAGAAGGCAGCTGGAATTACCGACGTCCGCGAAGTCATGGCCTCCCCAAAGAAGGACTGCCTGGACCATGACCTTAGCACAACTTCTTTAAGCTTTACATACTTTTCCAAACTTCCAAGAGCATTCCCTAGCCGCACCCGGACAAAATCTGATTGCCACTCTTTCACCTCAGAACGCTATTCGTGTCAGGGAGCGGGACAGACGGACAAGACGATGGAGGATGACTCTGATGCAGAGGTTGACTTGGAGCTGGCGGAGATGACAAAGATTCTCAATTTATTGTTGGAGGTGAACTTGTGCTTGGTGAAAGCTGATTGAGACCCTGTGCCCTTAGCAATCGTGGCCCTGTTTCCAAGTGAAGCAAACTAGGTACACGGCGGATAGACGGCCGTGGGGTGATGAAGGATGGTCGTGGGGTAATCCATCTTAAATATGCCAAATTCCATTAGGAATGATGTGAGCGACGCTTCATCATGGGAATCATTATGAATTCCATGCAGATTTCGATAAAATCAGAGTTTCGTTGAGGCGAAATGGCGGCTTCGAATCATTTTCGAAACTACGCAACTATTTTTGCCGTCGTACATGTGTGCGACTTTTTCACTCTTCACAGGAGCTGCTCCAAGCGGTTGGAGTCATATACACTCATGAAATTAGTGAATATTAGTCACATATTTATCAACATTGAATATAGTGATATGTAATGAAGTATCAGGTACTGTAATTGTCATGACGTGCTTGAAAACATACAGGCCACCGATCTTGCTGCAGATCTATTTGCCACACTTCAAGAAGCACCGGATCAGAGGTGGAACTTTCACCCCAGGTTTTCAACAAACTATCAAGATACCACGGATCTACCTCAAACCACGCTTGTAAGGATTCGGGGAGCTGATCCACCCC